ATGTCTGCATTTGTGATCGGAGAAATGACAAACAACAAGCCCTACTCTACACTGCCCAAAAAACTTGCTTTAAATATCAAAAAATATCAAATATAAAAACTCTTTAAATATAAAAAAGGTACTTACAATCTGTGAGTCAGAACAGCCGGCATTGTAGTCTACTCTCCCAGGATCAGGAAACAGACAGATCTTCTTTCTGCACCAAGAGCTTGTAACACTCCAAAGAGAAACGAAAAATTGAAATCGCATCATATGACACCTTTAAGCAAACAACAGTGAGAGAAAATCTCTGCTGTTGATTAAATCACTTTTGTAACTTTAATAAGAAGAAATATATATATATATATATATATATAATTTACACAGTTAAGACTTTTTGTCCTATATTGCTTGTACAGTTTTTTAATGGCTTTGGCGCAATTTTCACAAGCAATTGGTACATTTTCAAAACTCTTAGTACTAATATCACAACAGATCATCAAAAGTGCGCTTTTTTCAAACATTTCAGCCTATTTTCAATTGTGTTAGTACAATACACACAATCACAAAATATCCTTTTCACTACACAAAATAAGTGTTTCATCTATATAAATGTTTCATTCACAGTACCTGCCTTTCATAAAGCTATTACTATCAAACTTTTAATTTGCATGACTTCTCATTCAGTTTAATACATTTGTCTATTATTGAATCTAACTCCTCTTTATGGTTAATCAGTGAATCATTTGGTGCATCTATAGATATAGATTCAATAGATGTATAGTTTCTATAGAACATGATTTATCTAAGATAATAACCACTACTTTGTAAGGGTGTGTGTGTGTGTGTGGTTCAGGTAAACCCTATTTTATGGGGACAAAATGTCCCCACAAATATGGCAATATCTGAAATCATTGTCTTTTTTTGGGTCCAATGAGAAAAAAATTTATTTTCGTAAGGGAGTAGGGTTAGTGTAGGGGGAGACAGTATAAAACCCATTACGCCTATGGAATGTCACCATAATGATAGGAAAACCTGCGTATGCGCGCGTGTGTCATATTGTCACCTACTTACTGTAACCATATTCTGGGGGCAAATTGGTACCCAGAAGTACTGTAGTCAGTGACATTTCCGTCAACTGTCCCTGGACTCGGTTGGACTCTGACATATTTTCCGAGTTCGAAAGGCTCGAGTTCGAGTCAAGTCTGCGTAAAAATGCATCCGAGTCCGTGACAAGTCCGAGTCCTTTAAAAAATTGTACTCGAGACCGGACTCGAGTCCGAGTACCCCAACTCTTCTAAATTGAAAGAAGATCATACTGTTGTTTTGGTGATTAATTCAAATGTTCTCAATACATATAACAATGATCTTGTGTTTTGAAACAATAATTATGTGGAATTGAAAATATGCGCAACTACAATGAAATCATGAGATCAGGTTTTGAAAGAATGACTAGTGGTATTACAAGTGTGTGATCAGTTTAAAGTTTTGTACTAAGAGTTTTGAAAATGTACACCTTGTGAAAATAGTACCAAACCAATTAAAAAAACTGTAATTCGTTTCTTATTCTTTTCATCACTGACTGTTTTTATCATCAGTGAGCTTGAGTTTTTCTCTTTCTTAGGCTTGTATACATTTTTTCGTTGTCGTGAATTAAAATGATTCATATTGTGATATAACATTTTAGTAATATAGCCCACACAGCGGTATTAAACCAGCTACCAAACAAGCTAACGTTATAATTGCTAGCTTAAAGGACTCGTAGAACAATATGTCGGTTAATCATCTTTTTTTTACTAATTTATTAGGCTAATGAAGGGGATCCTGACCTCCCTGCAATTTCCGCCTGTGCCTGGCAGTATTTTTACTGTAAAAAGCATGCTGTTCAATACTATATGTAGTGCTTTGCTTAGTGTGCTTTGCTTGCTGTTATTTTTGGTGTAATTGTATGTGTCAACTGATCAGCAAGATCTAAAACAGAGGAAATTTCCTGTTATGCTGAGCTGGTTTCAGTGAATTCACTAAATATTTTTTTTTTAAAAGCCGTTATGAAAGTGATTCATAAAATTCAAGCCAAGTCAGCTATGCAGTGCACGTTTTTTTAGTACCGTCATCAGCTATTTCGAATGGAATAATTCACTGTCATTGGAAAGCTTTGAAATATTTGAATGTTGTGCATGTATAAATGTCTCCATGATGTTAAGATGTCCCCTCTCCTACAGCGCAACGTAAATTATCTTGGTTTTATATTGCACTTTCACATCTTTTAATTTGGCACGAAATTGTATCTTACTCTGGCATATGAGATTACAGTATCAACATCCACAGGTTATTTATCTTTAATGTTGTTCAATGAATGGTAAATCTATCAAATTATAGTACAGCACAGATCTGTGTTATAGTAACAAAAACAATTGTGTGTCATACAGGTGCATCTCAATAAATTAGAATGTTGTGGAAAAGTTAATTTATTTCAGTAATTCAACTCAAATTGTGAAACTCGTGTATTAAATAAATTCAGTGCACACAGACTGAAGTAGTTTAAGTCTTTGGTTCTTTTAATTGTGATGATTTTGGCTCACATTTAACAAAAACCCACCAATTCACTATCTCAACAAATTAGAATACTTCATAAGGCCAATAAAAAAAACATTTTTAGTGAATTGTTGGCCTTCTGGAAAGTATGTTCATTTACTGTACATGTACTCAATACTTGGTAGGGGCTCCTTTTGCTTTAATTACTGCCTCAATTCGGCGTGGCATGGAGGTGATCAGTTTGTGGCACTGCTGAGGTGGTATGGAAGCCCAGGTTTCTTTGACAGTGGCAGCTCATCTGCATTTTCTGGTCTCTTGTTTCTCATTTTCCTCTTGACAAGATATTCAGGTTCAGGTCTGGTGAGTTTGCTGGCCAGTCTTTTCCACGACATTCTAATTTATTGAGATGCACCTGTATATGAATTCCACAAGGAAGTCTACAGACCTTATTGGCACTTCCTGTTAGCTTGGAATTATCATGACAGATTAATTTAAATATTACATTTATTCAGCATTTATTTGTATTTAAGCTTTAGTACTTTTTTAAAGCAGAATTTTTTTCCTTATGATTGATCGCTTCACAATTAGGTGGAATGTTTTATTAGTAAACAAGTAAACAACATAAGTAAATATAGAAATGCAATATTAAACTGGCTTTACTTTACTTTCATCATCTCATTTAGTAATATTTAGTAGTCTAAATATATGATATCCCACTAGCAAATCTCTGTTTTTGCAACGTTTTATACCACTACTGGCCACTAGATGTCAGTAAGGGTGCTTGTTGAAAGTATGTAAGGTGCTGCTGAATTAGGAATAGCATACTACTCTTACTTAGGCTCCAGCATTGCCATGAACCCACAGAGGTTAAGTGGTTTGGAAAATGGATGCATGGATGAATACTGTTCCTACTAGATTCTTCTGCTGTTTCGTAGTATAGTCAAGTGGTATTCCTAATTCAGTTGTACAGCAACATTTAACAGAAGTGTTGTGTCATTCATTTTCTTTCTCTTTCTTACCACTGTTTTGCTGTTACTTTCTATTAATAATTAAGTCAGAATTTGACGTGGTATGACGCATTAGTGCCTTGATATCTTGAACGGTCTTGAAACTGTTACCTAAATTGAAAGTCAGTGCGGTTTATGTTTCTGTAGCCACCTGATAAAAAGGTCTGTCAGAAAACACAGAGTGATTACCTGCAGAAACAGTATGCGTCAGCTCTTAACATCAGGGCGTTTCCGTTAGCATAAACATGACAAACATATACGGTTACTTATGTTTACTGTTATGATGCAAAACTCTTCATATGAAGCATCAGTTCTTGAGTGATTTCCTATAATGGGTTTCAATTAATCTGAATCGATTTTGTGGTAAAACAGGTGAGTCATAACAGCTTAAATATATCTTTATTTTATAAATTACATATTTGTATAAAGACGACAATACAATGGAAATCACAGATCACAAATGACCGCAAAGGTCTACTTTGCAGCATGACATGTATACATCATGCAAATATGCTAAGAAATATAGTTCATTATAAATAAATTATTCTGTTTTTAGAGTCAAGCAGGAAAGATTCTTTATTCTTGAATCTATGCAGCTGTCCCTGTTTTAGAACTGTAATAAATATCTGGCTTGGTCTTGGTGTATTATCAGTGGTGCTGGAAACTTTCTATCCATTCAAGTAGTGAATCCAGCTCTCCGATAGCCTTCACTGCTCCTGATGCCTGATCAAGCTGAAAGACAAAAAGACAATTATTTTTTCTGTCATTTTCTGATTTGTTCTGATTGTAGGGGGAAAGTCTGTAGAATTTGGTGGAATGTATTTAAAGTGTGTTAAAACGAGCTGAGAGCAGTGTTGGGTAAGTTACTCTAAAAAGTAATCAATTACTAGTTACTAATTACATCTTCAACAGTGTAATTAGATTACTGCACAAATTACGCTCTCCAAAAAGTATTTCATTACTTATTACTAATTACTTTCTAAATCCTATATCAACCTCGACATGTTAATGATACAAGAATAGACATGAAATGGTTCTTTTAATTCTTTCAAGTAACTACATAAATAATTCTGGTCACACTTTAGATTAGCATCAAATTCTTACTATTAACTAACTATTAACTATGACTTTTGCCTCAATATACTCCTACTTACTGCTTATTAATTCTTAGTAAAGTAGTTGTAAAGTTTAAGATTTGGGTAGGATTAAGGATTTAGAATAAGGTCTTGCAGAACAAGACATTAATATGTGTTTTTAAGTAATAATAAACAGCCAATATCTAGTAATATTCATGTTAATAACCAACTAGTCAATAGTGAGAATTGGACACTAAAGTGTTGCCAATATTATTATTAACTCACCAAAGTATTTAAAGTGAGAAGGGTACATAAAAAGTATGCATTTTAAGGTTAGACTTTAAATTTTGAGGTTAAATCCACTATTGTATTGTGTATAAATGTTCTACAGTCTATACACAGTATTAAGTTCAATTACATAAGAAGTAACTGTAATTAAATTACAGAAAAAATAAGAGTAATCCCTTACTTTACTTTTTCCAGGGAAAGTAATTAAATGACAGTATCTAATTACACCCAACACTGGCTGAGAGTATAAGTATTGTCAGATTAAATAAAATATATAATAACCTAAAATAGATACAAATTTCATGGATGATGGGTTAAGTTAAAAGGTTTTTACAGTCTGTGTTGGCAGGCGTAGTTATTGTGTGTCCTGTCAGTGAATTACGTCTCTTACCTTGTCATACGTGGTTTGAATGCCTGTGAGTTTTAGTTTGGCATCTTCCCCGCACTCACATTGTGCATTAGCATGCTTTTGGATAGAAAGAAACAGTGACATGATTAGATTAGTCTGCTAAAAGCTTTCCAACTACATCTCTCTATCTTTATTCCTGTGCTTACACCTGCCCCTAATCCTTCACAAATATTCTAACATACACATAGTTAAATTTAATTTACAGTTGCTTATTGATAATCAAACTTGCACGTCCATTTATTCGCAGACAGGTATGTAGGTCAGAGTCAGTAAAATGGAAACCGTAAGAAAAGTCCCAAATATTGTAGCTTACAAATTTTTATGACTCAGCAGTGTTTTAGTCAAAGACCCTCTGCAGGGAATTCTGATGCCATTCAAATGCCAAAGGAAGGTCTTTGACCTTGATCTTTGTAAAAAGATTTGTGAGTTACAACAGTGTGTGGGACTTTTCCAATTTTTTCCCAGTCTTACAATGAAAACATTCTTTAACTAGTAGTGTTACATACACACACTCGCAGGTCCTTGGTGATACTGAGGAAGGAGTTGGCCAGAACGCTGGTGGTTCTGCGATGTAGGGAATGACTGCTGGTGTAGTTGATAAAAACTTTATCCATGTAGAAGTGAAGGAGTTGCCTGAGGAAACAGCAGCTTTCTGTAGCCTAATAATGGGGAAGACACATAAATCACAGATTTTTTGATAGTCTTATGTAATATGTGGTACATTTTAATTGATCAGTTGATTCTACCAAGGTTTTGATGCTACAGGCCCTGCAAAAAAAAAAAAATCTGTTTTAAAAAAAATGTTACCTGTAAACTGTGCATCATATCTTTTCTAAGTAATCTGATTCCCTTGTGATCGTCTCCTGAAATCTGTCAAAACACAAGATATTATCAGATTGCATTACCGTTGCACTTCAAACCACAGACGCAATAAAATAAGGCCACCTCAAAAATGGCTTTGTTTACATGTGAATTTTCTACTCCGTTTTTGCCAGAGATATGATTCATCAACTTGACAAAGAGCTGAAGACATTGGCAAGAGTTTCCATGGGTTACTGAAGTATTCCTTTTTTTTTTTTTTTTTTTGCTCTGTCATGCTTAAAAGTCATTGGCATGTTGAACCCAAAACCGAAACATGAAAAAGCATGTCTTGCCACATGCTGTTCTTTGATTTTTGATCATGCAGAGTTCTAGGAGAACTTAAAATAAATCAATAACCTGTTGGTTGAAATGTCAAACCTGTCAAGAAATCCCATTGACGTCATCACCAATGACGTCGTTGTTATGGTGGGAAATAGACTTGGCGCATTTATACATGTTTAGCATGCATCAAACCACCAGCAGATATTTTAACAGAAGGAAATGCTAAAACTAATGCATGACACTGTAAAGGTGCTCACCATGCTTTGCCGGATGTGCTGGAAGTGGTGCCTGAGTTCCTGCGTGTGTATGTTCACTTTACAACTGCCCAAGTGAAGTCTCCGACCCTGGGCTGTGTCCCATAGACCACACAGCATGGTGCATACAAACATACTATATATGATGAACGAGTCCTTCATTATGCTACTGACAGTTCAGCCTGAGATAAAAAGAAAAGACAGTCAAACATAAGCATATATGTGCTACATAAATGTAATAATGTATGTGTCTTGTATAGGATGAAATAAAAATGCTATTACCTGGTGAGGTCCGAGGTCCAGGTGTTTTTTCTTCATAGAATGATGTGCACCTCTGCATGGTGATGGCAGGTGCTCTTATAGTGGGACAGGAGGGGAATTTCTACAGGTATTCCTTGATTCTCTTCTACCTCCCATTACAGTAAAAGGAAGTGCATGTCTTTGCAAGAATATTAATTCATCACTATGGGAATTGGCGTGAAGGGATGAAGGACTTCCGTTCAAATAATTAGTGACGTACATAATCTTACTATACCTGTAGTGGCATGTTATAGGCCTACTGTGCAATTATATATATTATAAACTACCATTTAAAATTTGGGGGTAAGATTATTTAAAATTTTACGAAAGATGTTTCTTATGCGTACCAAGGCTGCATGTATTCGATCAAAAATACAGTAATATTGTGAAGTATTTCTGTCTTCAGTGTCACGTGATCTGTCAGAAATCATTGTAAAATGCTGATTTGATGCTCGATATTTCTAATTATCATCAAACAGTTACACTTAATATTTTTGTGGAAAGCTTTTTTCTCTTCTTCAGGATTCTTTGAGGAATGTACATTTTTTTGCAATTATTTTTGGTCAATTTAAAGCATCCTTTCTGAATAAACATTCATTTCTTTCAAAATAAATTTTACTGACCCTACTTTTGATATTTTGTCAGGAATTAATAACTATTGGTAATTTTTGTATTTACATTTTAAAAATTATAAATAATAACTTTTCTAAATAATAATGAGGAAGAAAGACTGCACACTGCTTTTACTCATCGTTTCATCATTTGGTTATTCTTTATTTAGCAGCCTTCATTTAAAAGGCACATTACTGTATACACTTACCACAGGGATAGTCCCCCAGGGGCCTTCTTGGGGATAAGGGACTTGGTCAAGTGATAAGCGTTCGTCATATCACTTCTGAAATTTAAACCTAGGACATTTAGTACTAGCTTTAGCTTTACCGGCATCTCTACATCATTGCATGTGTTTAAATCATTGCATCTGATAAAGACTGACTAAAAAAAAAGTCGGAGTTTCCTTTTTAATCAAGTGTCTTTTTTTTTTTTACCTTTCAGCGCAGCTCACATGAACAGTTGCATAAATAACATTTCCTTTAGTGACCAAAAATCATTTTCATATTTGACGTTTAGTTTATTTATATTCATTTTTTTCTAAACGGGATAACATTTCTTTCCTACATTATTGTGTTATGTGACAAGTTTGTTTACTGGTTATGTCATAATCAATGAAATGACGAGCATTGCTTGCTTTTAAAAGTACATGGTCCAGTAGAAAGCTATTTCTGCTACTGTTGGGCTCCATTGATAGGAAATAAGTTCAGACCTTTCTTGCTCTGTTTCCTGATGCTGCAGGCAGTTTGTTTTCTTTTTGTCCTTCCTAACGATGGTTGCTCTGAATGCTTGCCAGTCAAACCAGTAATGCAACAGTACAGGTAGCTGTGTGTGGAAAGACTTCTTTGCCCAGCAAGGAAACAAATTCCATGAAATACTTGTTTGAATAATAGTTTATGTTAAAGATGTTGAAACACTTAATTCATTTGCAGTCAGTGAGCAGGAAGAGAATACACTAATAAAACACTAATAATTTCTCATTAATAGATATTACCGGATAAAAAGTTCTTGGTTGTACTGTTGCATTATGTTAAATGATTTAAGTTGTTCACTTTGTGATACCTATTCTGAAAGTTTCATGTTTTCTATTTACAATTTTCATAATGTATCTACATTTTTTGTTTTACAATTCTTTTGCGTATATATTGGTTATTTTGTTTATAGCATAAATCATTTAGCGAAGTGACGTGTGGCCAAGTATGGTGTCCCATACTCGGAATTTGTGCTCTGAGTCTGCATTTAACCCATCCAAGTAAACACACACAGTAGTGAACACACACACCATGAACACACACCCGGAGCAGTGGGCAGCCAATGCTGCGGCGCCCGGGGAGCAGTTGGGGGATCGGTGCCTTGCTCAGGGGTCTCACCTCAGTCGTGGTATTGAGGGTGAAGAAAGAGCTGGTTATTCACTCCCCCCACCTACAATCCCTGCCAGACCTAAGACTCTAACCTGCAACCTTCGGGTTACAAGTCCGACTCTCTAACCATTAGGCCACGACTGCCCCCAACTCAGCTTATATTGGAGAACTCAATATAATTTCCGTTACTCAATGTAATGTACAATGTTCCCACAAGGTGTCACTATAAACATAAAATAAAAATGTGCCAAGTAAATTTGGCTTTGGAAAAGTATAAGAAAAAAAAGGGGTTCTTTTAAGAACAGTTCACTGAAAGATTCTTTTAAAATGGTTTTTCTATGGCATCTTTGCGAAAACCCACTTTTGGAACCGTTGTTTTTAAGACACTAAATCTGCTTGTTGTCTAGTTTTATTGTTGTATTCTGTGTTATGCTATGTGAAGTGTGCAATATAGCAGGCAAATTCTACATTTTCTACGAGTGACTTTTTTGGAACATTTTATTTTATACATATTTATTTATATAGAATACTGACACAAGATAAAGGCAGGACTACACACAGTACCTTAAAAACACAGGCACATTAAGGACATGTTCAACTACACAGTAGTTACGTTATTCCCCCATTTATCATTTTGTTTCATTGTATTTTCGTCTACCCCATACAGACCAATATATTCCTCAATTGTAACTACGCTTGTTGTCTGTCACACAATACGTCCATTAATGTACCTTTATTTTTAGGGTTTAATTAATTCCACTCAGCCATAGCTGCTGCTTCTGTTTTGTATAATCATATAGAAACGTTTAATGCAGAATACTCATGCTCAGTTGTATTCAAGGCAAGAAATTCAATAAATATGATGCACTGAAGGATTTTAGGTTACACAATGAAACATTCCTGAACATAAAGGGAAAAAATTGCATTGTTTAAAAATGCATTCTTTACTTGCATCTCCGGTACTGTTTGATTCAATCAGTACTGTCAAGTAGACAGGAAGGCCTAGTTGTGCACAGGCATTTATGAATCTGTTCATCACTCAAACCATCTTACATTACTATAGCATAAAGGTGTCTGAAGCACATGATGACATCTGAGGGGATGGGAGGACTCAAGTGATTGCCATCCAGACGCAGGTATCTCAGTTTGGGTGCTCCGTTCTCATCATGCATGTTGAAAGAGTTAGAAGGACAGATCTCAGTGCCGTTCAAACCTGCAAAGATAAGCAAATGTGTTATTTTGGAGAAAATGTTCTGTGGCACAGTAACAAGTTGAAATGTACATATACATACTCTCAATGGTATTGTGGTTGAGGTGAAGTTGCTCCAGCTCAGAGTTGAACAGGGGAATAGTGCTCAGCTTGTTATGGGACAAATGCAAATCCAACATTGAGCTCACGTTGAATACCAACTTTGGAAGACCTTTGTCGCTAAGCTGGTTGTAGTTAAGTCTCACAAAGGCCAGGTGTGAGAAATCCTTAAAGTAATCCTGTGGAATCTCCTCAATGTTATTTCTGTCCAAGAACAGTTGGAAGAGGCTCTTCGGTATATTCGCAGGCATCTTCCTGAGGATGTTGTGGGCCAGGTTGAGCTGAATCAAGTTCTTCAGATCTTTGAATTGCCCAAGCTACTGTCACTGATCCTGTTGTGATGCAGATCCAGAAGTGCGAGATGTTCCATCTTGCTGAATGCTCCTGGAGGGATCTTTGATATTTGGTTGCGGCTGAGTCTAAGCTGCTCCAGACTGGCTGGCAAGTCGTCAGGCACATCCTTTAGCTCGTTCCTCTGCATATAAAGGTAAAGGAGGTTTGGAAGCTTCTCAAACACTTGTTTCTCCACGGAACGAATGCGGTTATTTCCGAGATTTATCCACTTAAGCTCAGTGCAGTTTTTGAAGGGGTCTGCGGTTACTTGGTCAATGTAGTTGTTCTGTAGGTACAGGTAGTGTGTGCGGAACGGGATGACAGGGACCTTCCGGAGGTTGCGGTTTTCACAGTACAAGGCATTTGGGTAAGATGGTGGGCAGAAACACTCTCTGGGGCAGTCTGGGAATTCAGAGGGGGGGCCTAGGATCGGAGGGGGAAAGTCTGTGGGTTCCTGGGGTTCGGGCTCAGATTTTGGGGCAGGAGGGGATGGTTTCTTGGGAGCAGGAGGGGATGGTTTCTTGGGAGCAGGAGGTTTCCTGGTGGTAGATGGACGGACGGGCTTTGGTCTTGGTCTTCGCTGGCCACAGACATCCGTGATCAAAAGAAGGACAAGAAGAGAGCAGTATGCAAGCCCAGCTTTCATGGTCCTGAACAGAGAAGCAGCAAGAAAACATTGTCATTTTGCTTTATCCTGTGCTGAACAGTTCTTTCACAATTACACCGTTTTTTTTTTATAATTAAAACATTGAAACAAATAGTTTTAGGCTTTGGTTTAGGCTTTAGTTTGATTTTGGAAGATAGTAAATAAGAAGCCAATTTGATTGGAAAATCAAGAGCACTTTTTTTAAAACATCGTTGAGATCTCTTTTGAAGTTCTGCAGGAAACGTGTCATGTTTCTGTGATTCTGTTTCTTTTTGCATGACAGAGCTACAGACTTTTAACTTGCTGTCAACCTTGTCAAAGCATGCAGTCATGTATTCTTCCAGTTTGGCAGGATTATTATGACTTCTACAGACGCTGGAAAAAAAAGCAGCTCTAGATTTACAGGTTTCTCTGCACAGGCCTCTGATAAAGACTCTTTTGTGCAATGTAAGACCTAGGAAAGAGTGAGTCCTAATGAGGGAAACAGGCTAAACTCCCAGGGGAGCTTAGAGGAAACCAATGGCTGGAACAGTTGCAGCGTTACTATGCTATCTGCACCTCTGTGTGTCAGTACCACAGTTTAATTGCTGATTGCTGGAACAAC